CTCCCTCTTACCTCGCCAAGATGGCGAAGAAAATCTTCGACAGACTGAGGCCACCAACAGCTAGGGGCGTCTTGTCGCCTCGACCACGCCCTAAGTTGCTGCTCGTCGTGGGCCTCATCCTGATCACCGTCTATCTCATCAACTTCACCTCACATGGCCGCGGCTACCATGTCATACCTTGGAGGTCACGCTCTGCCGAAGGTCTCAAGGCCGAGACCGAGGAGGAAAAACGAATCAGGGAGACGCACGAGCAGGCGCTGCGCGACGAGTTCGCCGACGAATACCAGGCGGCCAAGAGGTGAGCAACAGCAAACAGGCACTTTGAAACACAGCATGCTGACAGCTTTGACAATTTCAGTCTGCCGGGCAACGATGCCATCTACGGCAACACTCTGGCTACCCTCATCAGCAAGGACATCCGATCTCCCGAGCATGACGCCGTCTTGACCGAGGCTCCGAAGAAACCCCTGGGCTTCGCAATGGACAAGCCCTATGTCTACAACCCGTATCCTGCCTACCACAGCAGTGATTGGAGGAAAAAGCACCGCGGGCCGTACATCGCTTGCCAGGGTGCCAATGGCAAGACCGTCGAGGACATGATCGTCTTCAAGGGTCATCCTCATGATTTCCCGCCCGAGAGCTTTGGCAGCTACGACCTCCTTAACATGGACGGCAATCTCTGCTTCGAGCGCGAGACCCGGCTCGGCCCTTACGGATATTCGACCGTCTTGAAGGACGGAGACCCCATCAACTGGGACCTCGTCAACTGGGGCGACCTGCAGGAGAAGTGCGTCTCCCTGAACAAGGAGCGCTATGATCTCACCGGCACCCCGAACCCCTATGTTCGTACCGTTTACCCTGAACTCTTTGGTGCAGCCGAGTATCCCCCGCCGCAGGGTGTCAGCAAGCAAGAAGTGCGAAGTGAGCATCCGATTGATGAGGAACAGCGCAAAGAGGCCCGAGCTTCAGAGCAGGCCTCTGCGCACAACAAACGGGGCACCACCACGGATTCAGAGCCGGAGTCCAAGGTCGAGCAGAGGACCGCCGTGCTACTTCGCTCGTACACCGGCAAGAAGTACACTGAGAATGACAAGCAAGTCATGAGGGCCTTGATCTCCGAGCTCAATCTGCGTACCGGAGGAGAATACCAGGTGTACCTACTGCTTCACGTGCGCGACTCAGGCCTCGACATCTTCGGCGATGATCTGACGTACAAATACGTCCTTGACCAAAACGTCCCTAAGGAGTTCCATGGCATGACTATCCTCTGGAACGACCGGTCCGTCTGGGATATCTATACGGCCATGACTGAGGATAACGAGCGGAGCGTGCACTCGGCGCAATGGTTGTCCGTGCAGAAGTTCAGTCTGGAGCACCCCGAGTACGACTACATCTGGAATTGGGAGATGGATGCCAGGTTTACCGGCCATCACTACGACTTCCTACAAAAGCTTCAATCTTTCGCCAAGAAGCAACCCCGCCGAGGCCTCTGGGAACGTAACGAGCGCTATTACATCCCATCCTACCACGGCGATTATGATCACGACTTCCGCAACGATGTCGAGGCTCGTACAGCCGGCGACCAAGTCTGGGGTCCCCCTGAACTGCCGTTCATCAAGCCCATTGGGCCCAAGCCTCCTGTCAGCAGCCCCGAGCAGGATCCTTATCAGTGGGGTGTTGGCGAAGAGTCGGATCTGATCACGCTCGGTCCCATCTTCAACCCTGTTGGCAGCAACTGGATCATCCGTGATCACGTCTGGGGCTACAGTGACGCCAATCATGATAAGCTGGATCTTCCTCGTCGCACCACCATCGTCACCCAGTCGCGTGTTTCAAGGCGCCTACTGAACATTATGCACGTCGAGAACCTCCGCGGAAACCATATTGCCTCGGAGATGACCCCTCAAACCGTAGCCCTGCTTCACGGTCTGAAGACCGTCTTCGCCCCTCACCCCGTTTGGTTCGACCGCCCCTGGAACGGTACATTCCTGGCGAAGTGGTTCAACCCAGGCCCCCGAGGCGCGACTGGTGGCGAAGGCAGCCCCATGGGATGGGGACGGGAGCGCCGCTACCAAGGCTCGACTTGGTACTACCGCGCTGACCCGCCCGCGCGTATGTACAATAACTGGATGGGCTACGAGGATACCCACGTTGGTGGAAAGGCATGGGAGGAGAAGCATGGTCGCCCGTGTCTGCCGCCGATGATGATCCATCCCGTCAAGGAGGTCAAGCAGACACAACCAGGCTTTGAGACGCACTTTGAGCTCGCGTATGGCTAATGCATTATGGGGCCATGTTGGAGAAGACTCATGATCTACGACAATATTCTGCTTCACTACTTCTAGCTCTGAGCATCAACTCGATCGGTGCGATCGCGACTCGGCAGCACGACCGAGACGGATCGTCGACGTGGCTATGCGTTTGCTTTTCTTTTGATCAAATTCAGACGTACAGCCACCCCATCCCCGATGAGGAGTAGCAGGGTAGGCGGTGGTGAGCGCGCTCTAGACATTAAGGTAATGTTAGCAGCGGGGGTGGGCGACGGCGTGCATGCCAGCCCGGGAGGGCGATGAGTTGGTGGAGGGCAACCTTGTGCTGTATAGTAGCACCTGTCGGCGCGGCGTTCTCTTTGGGGTTTCAAGCTGCTTTTTAACGAGTGAAAGCCAGCACTCATGTTTACAAATACCTCTCTGTTCCCGTTGTTTTTTTCCGGTCCGTAGAAAGGGCATCTGCATCTGCAACCGAACCGGAGGTCCTTCCTCCGACGGTGTGATGGTGTCTATGAAAAAATGGATGGAGTGGGCGGCCGGCAGCAGGTGGTGGTCCAGGGGCATAGACTTGGGGCCATTTCGTGTCAATACATTTCAAGTTGAGCATGCCAGAGTGGTTTCTATATCATGGTGTGCCAGAGTGTTTCCCTGAAGGGGCATGGGATTTGACTACTGTTTGGAGAAGAGACAAGGCTCAGTAAAGATCTAACTTGTCGACGTTTTCTAGCTGGATGAGTCCATTGGGCGGCTACGCAAACATTGTCAGTTTGTCGTCTCGGAAACGAATACAAGAAAGAGAGAGAGGAAGAGAGAGAGAGAGAGAGAGAGAGAGAGAGAGAGAGAGGAGCTCACCGGCACAAACTGCCTCAGCTTGACGCCCGCCTCGCGGAACACGGCCGCCGTCTCAATGTCCATGCTGTAGCCCTGGGCGTAGACGACCTCCCGGATGCCGACCTGGCAGACCTTGATGCTGCAGGTGAGGCAGGGGCACGTGTCGCAGTAGAGGACGGCGCCGTCGCGGATGCGCTCGCGGCCGGCCTCGAGCAGGGCGTTCTCCTCGGCGTGAATGCAGAGGCAGGTGGCGAGGCCGGCGCCGGAGGCGCCGCCGCCGTCATTGCAGCGGGGACAGCCGCCGGGGAGCGCGGTTGCGTAGGCCGCGGGGAAGAGCGGTGGGGGCGGGGTACGAGGGGCAGTTGGGTTAGCGCCCGAGTGGAGGGGTTTGCCTTTTGTTGATATTCCTATGTCGTGGGCGGGGATGCTCAATAAGAAATTAGTGAAACATGAGCAGAAGGGAGGGGACATAGCAAAGAAAAGAAGAGATCGAACAGATTAGAATGAGGAGATAGAGATGAGCTAAGGGACCTTAGGGCACTGGGGAAGGGCGGGGGTGAGATAGAGAAGGAGGAGGCAGAGTAGGGGGAAACTCAGTCGTAGAAACGGCCGGAAGGGCAATTCGAGATACGAGGAGAGTAAGGTGTTGCTGCGAACGTGACATATATGTGTGCAGAGTGGCAGATGCGAGCCATATATGCATAGTATACTGGAGTGTAGAAGTGTGCGTAGAGAGTAGCAGCAGATCAGGAGGACGATAGCAGAGAGATTAGAAGGATAGCCTCTGGAGAGTAGGGAGTGCATGTATGTCTGTGATGATAGGGCTGAAACCGTAGCAGCAGCACGTGACAGCGACGAGTGAGCAGCTGTACTAGGGATAGCGCGTCTGTCGTGCACTGTCACAGGATCATTACATCATAGACGGCAGAAGCAGTGCAGCTAAGCGATACGCACGAAGCGTA